TTTCAACAACAACTAACAACTTTAACAACTTCAACCACAACAACTCACAACTTTAACAACAAAGCCAATCCTTTCTTAATGAATAAAAGGGGTTAGGTGTGTGGGGGAAAGGATCACCCAACACTAAAAGCTCACATACCTTGATAGGGATCACCCCCGACGAAAATCCACGATGATCTCCTTGCTTGATCTCCTCTTCTTCTCTTCTTCTCTTCTTCTTCTCTTCTTCTTCTCTCAAAACCCTCACTCTCACTTCTTTTTAAAATGGTAAAACTGATCAAAATGATCAGCCTAACACATTTATATAACCAAAATAAAAGGCTAGGGAAAAGACCAAAATGCCCTTAATGATTCCCGGACGGATTTCCTTGTCAACTGCCCAACTTTCAAAGGTCATAACTCGCTCATACGGACTCGGAATTGAGCAAACTCGGTGGCGTTAGAAAGATCATTCCACGAACTTTGCAACCATAACTGGAATTCCACCTAACTCATCCTGAGCTAGAATTTATGGCTGTTCAAAGTTGGCCAAAAATTCACATTTTCCATACTTAGCCAAAATTTCCAAAACTTTAAAATTCTTTCCAAAAATGAAAATTTCCAATCCTAAGCATCTTCAAAGCTATTTCAAATTGTCGGATGTTACAATACTGCTCCTCCTACTCCCTGCGGAGGGTTCCGTAAAGGTTTCCATATATGTAGTATATTTATTATCCTCAAACAATTTTTTTTACTAGTGATGTGATAACTTGATATTTTTCTGTAGATAAATAAAATTAATTAGCTTATTGTGAAAACTAAAACTAAATAAAGACTTGTATTGTATTTACTTGTTTTCCCACGAGTTGGTGGAGTGTTTTTTTAGATTGTCCCAATACCTTCTGAACGCTCTTTGCGCACAATTGGAGCTCCTACACGAAGAGGGTCCAATATCTTGTCTTCTATATCTTTCAACCATTTTTTGCTGAAATATGGTACTATGCAACTTTTCTAGATAGTCATCTAACTCAAACAAAGCAATTTTGAGATTTCCTTAAAAAAAATAAAAATCACAACACTCCATGTTTGATTTGCTAAGATGAATAAGACTGTAATAAATAGACTTGTGTCACACTATTAGTATAAACAATCTTAGATTCTGAACTTTCATCGATAACATAACTCTTGGCAGATTTTTTTATTCCTTTTCTAACATTTTTTGTCCATCTCTTCAATATGTATTCCTCAAGAATTGATCATACGTTATATTTGAAGTAAAAAAATTAGTAGACAATGTGCACATGTGATATAGATATGTTCAATATATTTTTTGCAAGTGCATGTCAATTGTCACATGTAAAATTGTGGGATTGAACTTAGCAAATCATTTCTTGCTTAAGCTATGCATTCTTACTTCATATTTAGATACTTGACCATCATAACATACTTGTGTCTCAAAAAATCATTAGAATATGATATTATATTTTGTCAAGAATAACCATCTAAAAGATTCAAATAGAAAAACACGATAAAATCTCATATTTTGTCAATGATGTTTTATTACAATAAATGATTCATAAATCATACAATACTTGTTTGTTCAATATATGATATCAAAAGATACAACATCACCAAAACAATTGTAGTCAATCCGGAGTCGACCATGCATCTTTCCATGAATCAAGTTGAATATCCCAATAAAAGAAAGTCTCGCTCGCTTGTCTTTTTTTAAATGTGTTAACAACTCTTAAGAATGGACAACTTGCATCTTTGATTTCATCAATTAATCTATAATGATATAGAACATGAGAATTAAGTCCCATGCAAGAAGAAGAAGTTGAAGGCAACCCTAATAAGTCTTTCCCTCTTTAGTTTATGCTAGCTACTAACTTTACTTCCTTTAAGGTTATAATTAATATTTATTGTATTTTTAATTATTTATTAAAATAAGTCTTCTAATATATTTTAATTTGACTTACATAGTTAATTAAACTTAATTGGATATTAACACTGGTGTATGACTATAGAATAATCATAATTTTAAAACTAAATTATTTCTAAATATAAAACATCATCATTTTGAAAATGGTTATCACTCTAGAAAACAAAAAGACATACCACCTATGAATTTTATTTTAGATACTACCTCAAATAACAAGTAGTTAATCAAATACCTTAAATGATTATCTTAATAGTTAATTTGTATATAAAAAGCACCAAAGGAAAAACTATATTAATAACAACACCTCAAAAAATATAGAAATGATCGATTTCATCAAAAAATCTAATTGAAAACTCATATTCAATTCTATTTTCTTTCTAAATTTTTTGGGTGGGGTACTGGAGGTAGGGGTTTGAGGATGATTGGTTGGGTTGCTTGCCCTTCATTTCTTATGAATATAAATAATTTTTGCTCTCTTTTTCTGGTACATTCATCCAAAAGTCTAATGAGATACTATAAAAACATCAACTAAAGTTTGAAGAAAATAATAATTATGATCTCTCCATTTTTCCTCCTCCTTATTCAATATTTACTCAATATTTGCTAACACTAATGTTGTTAACAATGAAATCCCTTATTGCTTTTGTGTTCATTATTGAATCCCTTTCATTCTCAAACTCTAACATATAATTTTTAACTTCTTTCCGTACCATATCATGCAAAACTATCAAAAATTCTAGGCTCAATAATTATATCTCCAATTCTGCGTTATTGAAATTTGGGGCATAAGAGTTGATGGAGTGGGTTCAGATGCCGATACATGTGTCAATTCAACTACTTTCTCAATTTGGTTTACCCGATTTGAATTCTTGCTAGAATTAAATTCGGGTAAAGAGAGACTCAGAGATGTAAAGTGCCACTTCAACTACTTGCTCGATTCGGTTTACCCGATTCGAATTCTTGCTAGATTTGAATCCGAGTAAAGAGAGACTCAGAGATGTAGTGAGTTTAGATTTCACTACAGGTTTCATTTCAACTACTTGCTCGATTCGGTTTAGCTGATTCAAATTCTTGTTAGATTTGAATCCGGGTAAAGAGAGACTCGGAGATGTTGATGGATCTGGCATTACTGCTGAAAGAGGCAAAATTCCACCTAATGGGGTAATGGACGGATAAAGACATAACTCAAAAACCTAGAAAAATCCAAATTGTTCAAATCAGTTTCAAATGGACTCTGAGATGTTGATGGATTGGACATTACTGGTGAGACTACTGAAAGAGGCAAAATTCCACCTGTTGGGCAACTAGGAGGATAAATACACAACTGAGGGAACTTACAAAAATCCAAATTGCTCAAATCAGATCCACATGGACTACCTGAATTTATACATGTCTTGATACTGAACGATCTCTTCAACAATGTTTAAGGATTTTTTAATATAAAATCTTCCGATATGGAAGAGTGCTTCCATTTAAGGGTGAAATTCTAATATTTTTTAATCGCATTATTGATTCGACCCGATAACAAATGGGTTATCGGAGCCCATTGACTACCGAATTTGGCATGAGCTTTGATATTAATATCATCTTCTTCAGGAGTAAAAGGTTGATGATCCACTTGAGTAGAAAGTTGATCACACCACCGGAGCCTACATGACTTTGAAGATCGATTTGGAATCAACTGACTGATAACTAACCAGTTCTTTGTTCCATGTTCCTCAACTAGCTTCAGCAATATCTTGTTCTCTTGAAGACTCCAATATCAACGCTTGTTCGGACCCTTTTTCTTCATTGTTTCCACTGAATAATATCAGTCGAGTATATGAGACAGCAGGAAGGAAGGATACCGGCGATACAAAGTACAAAGTATATATGTACAGTGGGGTGGTAGGAGGAGGTAGGGCCTAATATTTACTTGGTAAAGACTTGTGAGGATAGTGGGGGTGGGGGTAGAGGGGATAGGGGTGACCGGATTAATAGGAGTTATTAATTATACAAATGAAATGTATCGCATTGCTAAAATCTCATAAATTAATTAGTTTTTTTTCTTTAAATAGTGTTTGGTGGATTAGATTAGAGGGGATAGGATCTGAGTAATATTGAAGTTTGACTAGCTATTATTTTAGGAAAAAAACAAAATAACATTCAAACCAACTATTTTAGTTACAAAATAAAAGTTTGACAGATAATTGTTTTTATGGGTAAAAACTTAAGTGTTTTCACATCAAACCAATTAATATAAGAAATTTACTTTGATACGCACTTATATCGAGATTAATTGAAAATTTGATAGTAAATTAATAAATTATATTTATATAATTCGGCATATAAAGTCTTTGACTAATAGTTTAATTTCATATTTTTATTTCTAACTATCTCAAACTCTCGATTATTATGTGTTGGCATTTGAGGAAGAAGCAATCTGTCAACTAATGTGCATGATTCAATTGATTTGCCACCTTATTTCTTATAAGTGATTTTCGTTGATTTTTTGTGGATAAAATCTTAACGGTTTACTGATACGAACAGATAACGATCAATAACTGATAAATTGAGATTTTAATGATCCTAGAATGACTAAGCATGTCTATAAATCGATAACTGATAAGTCGAACCGATACACTTTAAAAGTGAACTGAATCAATCGATAGACAACCCTAGGCGAATCTAGTATATAGTTTAGGTAAAAAATGCATTCGCCCTTGATGTTTACATTAATAGGTGTTGATAGGGCTTATCTTAAGCTGGAAGGAAAGAACAATCAAAATTACCCCCTCCCCCCCAAAAAAAGTTTATTATTAAATAAATTAACAATTCAACTCTTGGCAACATAATTTTTATTTAAACCGGGGTGTTATTGTTTTAAAAAGGAAATATATTTATTGGAGCCTGAAGGGTAGTTTAGTCATTCAACAATTCATTCAAAATGCCATTTTTGGAACCAACACCTTTCTAATCATAACGTTTCATACATCCCAAAATTCACACTTACCATATTTTTTGCCTCTATATATATATGAGAGGATGTAGTAGTAATCCATTTGTCTGTTTAACTTTAAGCCGCCAACAATTCACAACAATGGCCTCTTTAACCTCTGAGACTCTCAATTTCATTGTTTTCCGCTACCTCAGTGAATCAGGTAATTTAATTCTCATCTTCAGAACCTGTTCTATCTATCCAAGTTTAATTGATGTTCTGTTTCTATTCTGAAATCCCCATGAATCCGAGTTTGAAAACTGGATCATCTATCTGCACAAGGTAGGGATTAAGGTTTGCGTACACACCAACCTCCCCACAATCCGAGTTTGTTGTTAGATGATGTTAAATTCTGCAAAGTAAACATTTTTTCTGTATCGAAAACATGTTGTTGTTGTTTGCTAGGTTTGATCCATTCATCCACTAGAATAATAAATTTTGAATTCGGTAAATTGAATGTGTTGTTATTACCAAATTTAAACATCTCATTTAAATATCATATCTGTCTCTACATTTTTCGATAGGATTAAATAAATTTAACTTTCAACTCTTTCCCATGAGGAAGTAAATTTGATCGTGATGGACTAGTACCGATTAAGGATTCACACATTCAGCATTTCGTTTTGGGTAGTATATATCTAATCGGTCTACTGGTTTTGCTAATATATTTTTTCAGGATTCACACATTCAGCATTTACTTTTGGATACGAGGCAGGGCTCAATAGGAGCACAATGGATGGACATCTAGTTCCTCCTGGTGCTCTTATTCAATTTGTGCAAAAGGGTATTCAGTATCTTGAACTGGAAACCAATTTGAGTAATGTAAGGCAAATATTTTAATATTCTGATTTTTCTATATGTAGTTTAGATCTTTTTACTACTCTGTACTAACCAATAATAACTACGGAATGCAGGATGATACTGATATGGATGAAGACTTCAAGCTTCTAGAGCCTTTGGATCTCATTACAAAGGATGTAGATGAGCTGCGGAAAATAATAAAAGAGAAAAAGGAGAAGGTTCAGAAAGATAAACCTAGGAGGAAGGATAAGGCGAATGCTGACCACAAACGAGAACCTATAAGAGAAAGGGAGATGGAGAAACAACAGAAAGAAAAAGAGCGTGAACAGGACAAAGAAAGGAGTGATGTAATGGTTTTGGAAGGACATACATCTGAGGTTCGGAATACGTGATCTAATATATATACCTTCTGTGTTCTGTATTAACATTGCAATTCTCTTTTGTTTTTAAACTCGTGCTAGGTTTTTGTCTGTGCTTGGAGTCCAGAAGGGTCACTGCTTGCATCTGGGTAAGCATTAGTACCATTTCTTTCTTTTTTGCTCTCGTATATGAATCACTGATGTTCTTATTCATACTTCTGTTTTCTTAGACTCGTCTAAGGAATCATGTCTATTATAGCTAATCATGTGTAATAACACGTTAGGTCTGGAGACGCTACTGCTAGAATTTGGACTATTGGAGATGGTCCATGTAATTCTACTATCCCAAATGTTTTGGTTTTGAACCATTTGGAAAGTCAAGCAACTGAGGAAAACAAGGATGTTACATCACTTGACTGGAATGTGAGTTTTCTATTGCTTGTTTTGGGCTGACTTTCGTTCATCTATACTTTTCTGGTGGATTTTCTGAAATTAGACTGCATTGCTTGTGGTTACATATTTAATTTTCTAGTTATTATTTGATCTTGTATTTATGACTTTTACTTGTACAGAGCAAGGGTACCCTGCTTGCAACTGGTTCTTACGATGGAGGAGCCAGAATCTGGAAACGATCTGGTAAGGAGCATGGAGGAAAAACTTGTTTTGAAGATTGAATGTATAAATTGCCACCACTTTTCGTGTCTTGTTTTCTCTTACTGACTTTTCATACAGGGGAATTGATTAGTACTCTTAACAAACATAAAGAGCCAATCATATCTTTGAAGTGGAACAAGAAAGGTGATTATCTCCTTACCGGTAGTATTGATAAAACTGCCGTCGTTTGGAATGTGAAGTCTGGAGAATCAAAGCAGCAATTTGATTTTCATTCAGGTATTCTGTTTCCCTTGTTCTGTCTCAATTATTCATTTCATTATATTTTACCTCATATCTGAGCAAGGATAGATTTTGTTTTGTTTTGCTTATGTTCATACAACCCCATGTAGGTCCATTGCTTGATGTTGCTTGGCGAAACAATAATTCTTTCGCGACCAGCTCCGCTGATAACATGATATATGTTTGTAAGGTTGGAGAGAACAAACCAGTCAAAACATTCTCAGGACATCAGGTGAGGACTGAAGCTTAGCATGTTATGCTTGATTCGAACATTGATGTATCCGTTGTGAATAGTCTTAAAGGGTTGTTTACTTTGCCATTGCAGAATGAAATCAATGCTATCAAGTGGGACCCTTCAGGTTCCTTGCTGGCTTCATGCTCTGATGATACCACAGTTAAGGTAATTCATATCTTGTCCTTCTCAATGTTAGGTGCATGTTACGTTTGAACTGTGCAGCAGACATAAGTTATTTTTAAATTGGATAAGGTAGAGAGGTGGTGCAGTGTGCCACTGGCCCTCGAGGTTTTGGTCAATAATTTATTGTTTTTGTGCAGATATGGAGCATGAAACAGGATGTCTGCTTGCATGATTTCAGAGAACATAGCAAAGTATCTATTTTTGTTCTTTCTTTTTCTTTGTTGATTCATTTAATCAAATCAGATGTCAGCTGCTGACTAATATGTTTTTGTTAGGAGATACATACCATCAAATGGAGTCCAACTGGCGCTGGTACAAGCAATCCGAATCAACAGTTGTTGCTGGCAAGGTATTCTATCTATTGCTACGGTCATATTTACTGTATTCTCAATTTTATATTACATTCCCCTGCTGTTAGTTCTTTGAGCTTATTGGTTTTGTTTTATTTTCTATCTGTGTAGTGCTTCATTTGACTCTACCGTGAAGCTATGGGATGTTGACCAAGGGCGTCTTCTTCACAGCTTGAACGGTCACAGGTAATTGATGTTACCTCATTATGTCTACTTGGAACGGACACAGGAGATAGTAAGGCACTCTTAATAAATTTACACTTATTTAACTGTCAAATGATAGGCGTGTTATGGGGTTTGTTTACTAGTACTCAATTGAACTATCAATACGTGTGTATCTTTCTTTTAGATCATCAAATCTTTGTATCGCTCTTGTTTAATGTTTTTGGTTTTTACTAAGTAGTTTCTCTTCCATTTTGAATCCAGGGAACCTGTTTACTCTATTGCATTTAGTCCGAACGGTGAATACATGGCAAGTGGATCATTGGACAAATGCATGAATATATGGTCGGTGAAGGAGGCCAAGATTGTAAAAACTTACAATGGCGATGGCTGCATTTTTGAAGTGTGTTGGAACAAGGAAGGCAACAAGGTTGCAGCTTGTTTCGCAAACAAGAAGGTCTGTGTCTATGATATGCGATTGTAGATAAGGTTGAGGAATCGATGTGAAACTCTGCCTTTTAGAAATGCAGAACAATTGAGGCTCAAACTAAAGTCACATCATAGATAACCTTTTTGTTGTTTTCACCTAGTGTCCGGTTATCCAGATTGGGACCCGACTAAATCATTTATGGCATTGATCTAAACTTAAGGGATCGTTTGGTTTGCAAACAGATTATGTTTGATTATAATATATAGTAGTATCTTACTTTAGTTTCATGCATGTTCCAATCTTCTATAACTTTACATGAACAATACTAAAGAAAACAAAATAAATAAGAAAACTTCTCTACTCATTTTTAAGCCTGAGAAAGTATGTAAATAATCTCCTTTTGAAGAGAACAAAGTTGATATTCTAACTAATGTTTCTCTTAAATTACCAATACCAACACTTCGATTCTTAATATGGTATTCCAATTACATACGTTCGATTCTTGGAAATGTTTTACTCCGTTCTCATTCATCTCTTAGGTAGTTAAGTTATCTACATTAAATAAATCATTTTATTTAATTATACGCATTCGCTTCAATAAGTTGTAAAGCCCTACACATTTTATACATGAGGTTGATGTGTATAATTTAAAGAGATGGCATATGTTGTATGATTAACTTAACTCTCTGGACTCTAATAGACAACTGTAAACACAAGCAAAAGTGTGTTTTTTTTCAAAATTTTAATCGAAAGTGTCTAATTGAAATACTTTATAGGAGTTGAGATGTTCGATTAAAACAAAACTTAGTTCAAGTGTCTTAATAAATATCTTGACAAATTGAACAAGTTGACTATGTGTTAATCCTTCTTTTTCTAACCCAACAATAAGAACATTCTATAGAAAAATCTTGCCGTAGTTGGCAGGTATTCCGTGAAATTAGTTGCGATGCGTGCAAGTTAACCTAACACAACGATTATAAAAAAAAAAAACGGTGCAATGATACTTGTAGACTGTAGTAGCCCATGATCCCTCCACAAAAAAAACTCCAAGCATCCACTGTGTATTAATAATTACTTGACCAATTTAATGTTGCACACTAATTAAAAGATAAAGTTGGTGACCTTTTTAAAATATAATCAGTGTTAATTAGTACTCTCTCCGTCCCTATTTAGTTGTACATATTTTCTCTTTTAGTTGCCCCTATTTAGTTGTCTATTTTGACAAATCAAGAAAGGACAACAAATGTTTTCCTATTATACCCTTATTTAAATAAAGTTGTCATAAATAAAGTAAATAAATTTATGAACTTTCTAGCATTGATTAGTTATCTTGAGTGAATTTATTTTGGAATTGTAAATTATACTATAAGGGTAAAATTATAACTTTATTATGCTAATCATTGTTGCCTTAATTTGTGTATCATTTCTAAAGTGGACAACTAAATAAGAAAGGAGGGAGTACTACCTTTTTTTTACTGCAACATAAACAAATTGAAAAAAAGAATGACTTTTGGGTTTCTTTTTTTAATCTAGAACATCAAATAATATTTAAATGTGAGAATCTTAATAGCTCAATTTATTGGCTATCTAATATTACATCTAGGTGACGGTTAACCACCTTATAATCCCCTCCTCTTTCCTCTTCCATGCGTAATAAAAAAAGTTCTTTTAGAATAAAAGAATAATATAAATATCAAATATTGTTCAAGATGTATAATAACCGATCGCTATAAAAGGCACACCCAAAAAGGTCCAAAACAAACGAGACTGTTACAGAGAGTATTATCAATACATACTAGAACCAAAGAGAAATGCAATAGGGATTTAGTAATATTGTATACATCCATACTTTTTCATATAATATATAGTTTTCTGGAGTTATTTCCAGCTTATTATAACTTACAAGAAACATTTATTTTTACCATCCATGACTCTAAACATGAAGAGACATTACAAGACTATATCTATAATTTTCATACATCATGAGGATTATATCATATCTACTAAAATAAAGTCCTTTAAATAGCATGAGCCAGCATCAAGAAGGCAGATCCATCTCTTCCAGGTATCATCGTAACATCTCATACCAATTTTTCCAATCATTATACAGTATCTTCAAAGAATGAATCCGGTATTTCGAGAGGAGAAGACAATGTTGACACACATTTGAACTGTTACAGGAAAATCATAGAGTTTGCATCAGATTACTGAACTATGCAGGTGTTTACAACAAAATCACTAACTATCAACAACGAGCGGATTAATACCTTATGCAGCTTGTATTTGTCCCTCACAGCTGCTAAAGCACTTCCTCTTCTACTTAATTGCAAGTCATGTACGATAAGAACACATTCCTTCAAATCTGCTGCTCTATATCCCGAGCAACGTTGAAGGGCCAGACTCTACAATATGGACAGAGTTAATTCAGCACTTCGATATATATAAATGAACTATTAAGTATAGTGAACATTGGATCAAAATTCTCACCCAAGGATGTGACTTTGGCTGTAATGTGAATCTTGAAAGGAATATCACAGCAGCAGCTACCAAAGAAGGCAGGAATTTCACGCAGTTGTAATCCAATAAACTTAATTCAGCTAGGTAGTAACCGAGAAACTCAAACTGCAAATCAGGGTTCTGTAAAAGGCAGAAAGAATATAAAATAAGCAACCACTTGACAGAAACACAGTCGAATACAAAATCATAATGTTCATGATACATATTTGCACTTACTTTAACATCTTCTTGAGCAACTCTAGTAAATCGCCTGCATACCAAAGAAAAAAAGAACAGACATATCAGTCAAGGAACCTTAATCGTTCTTTAACAAGTTCACCACTACTTATTCGCCAAACAATGAGACCTACCGGAGAAATGTTTTGGCTGTGGGACTACCCATTTCAAATTTGAGGGATTGTAGCACACTTGCCTCCATCTTCACAACATCTTTCTTCGTAAACGTATTGGCTGTAACGTAACAAAAATCCTTGACATGTGGAGGCTTGATTTCCTCATACTTCCTGATCATAATCAACAGATTATATTAGATTTGTAACACACAATACCAGGGGAATAAACCAGTTCTTGGCTCCAATACTTACGCAGCAATGAGCATAGAAGAAACACCCAAAAGCTGAAGCCTTTGCCTAGGGATAACATTCACTGATAAGAATCTGTCAATGTGTGAAACAGTAAGATACAACGTGTCTGATAGAAGCTTGTATTCCTCTGCAACTTCGACCAGCCAGTCAACCAACACCCCTCTCATGTTTGCACTCACATCCTTCTGAACCTTCTCAAGGTAATCAGGCAATGGTCTTCTCTTTTTCTCAATCTGATTCGAAAACCCACAGAATAAGTCAAAAACCCAAATATCAAATCCAATCAAGATTTGATAATTCAATGATATTAGCCACAACCCACTTGCCAAAATCCAATCTTTAGTGTGCTCATTTGCAAAATCATCAATAAGAAACCAAATCAAGCTCTGCTACTATTAGGTAATACCCAATTAAACAAGATTTGATAATTCAATGATATTAACCACAACCCATTTGCCAAAAATTCAAATCTTTAGTGTACCCATTTGCAAAATCATCCATAAGAAACCAAATCAAGCCTATTAGGTAACACCCAATTAAACAAGAGTTGATAATTCAATGATATTAACCACAACCCATTTGCCAAAAAATCCAATCTTTAGATTGCCCATTTGCAAAATCATCAATAAGAAACCAACCCAAACCAAGCTCTATTAACAAGATTTGATAATTCAATGATATTAACCACAACCCATTTGCCAAAAATCCAATCTTTAGATTGCCCATTTGCAAAATCATCCATAAGAAACCAAACCAAACAAACCTCTATTAACAAGATTTAATAATTCAATGAAATTAACCACAGCCCATTTGCTAAAAATCCAATCTTTAGAGTGCCCATTGGCAAAATCATCAATTAGAAACCAAATCAAGCTCTATTAAGTAACACCCAATTAAGCATTTCACTTCTTAATTCATTTACTTCAATAAACATACTTAATCACTAAGATCTAACTGATTAAGATTCAGATACTCATTAAATTCAAAAGTCACAAAATTTATTGAAATGCGCAAAATCACTAACCTCCAATTGATGAAGATAATCATAAATATCAGAAGCATAAGCACCACACATCTGAGGATCATCATCCAAGTTAACATCAACATCAAATTCCTTATCTTTCTCAGTAACAGATCTTTTCACCTTCCTCTTAATAGTCTTCCTAGATTTGATAATACCTTCATTAGACAAATCTTGAATCTCACCCAACACAACTCTCTTCTTGTTGGGTTGTTGCAAATGCTGAACCATTGCTTCTGCTGCTCTTTTCTTGGCCAATCTTGTAACTCTAACAAAATTTTCTTGATCTGCCATTTCTTGCTACTCCCTTTTCCTCTCTGTGTGTGGGGGTGGGGGTGGTGGTGGGTAGGTAAGAGAGGAAGACTGAAGAGTAAGCTGAGGAAGGGAAAGAGAGATTGATGTATGTATATATATGGCGCCATATATTCAGCAGAGTGAGTGTTTTTGAGGGAAATTTTCAGATGGATTTTGAGTTTTTGAGATTTTGGGAATTTTTGGTTTTAAGGGTTTGTCTTGTTGCGGCAAATTTTTGGTTAATTTTACATTTTTTCAGATCGAATTTTTAAAAAGTGAGTTTTGGGTTCCCTCCATATATACCCGCTTCTTTATAAAAGGTTATTTTCTTCCGCCACCTTTATGTAATTAAGAAAGAGTTTAATTTACACTATATCATACCCCTTCATAGGTGGACCTATCTCTCTAGGTGGGGCGCATGTGCACCTGTTAACTTCGTAAAAAATTATGTATATCTATTTTGAGAAACTGATAAAAATTATAATATAATTAACGGTATACTCATGAAAAACACAGGATTGTCATTGTGTTGTTGGTACAAGCTAGAGGTCGATCTGCCAATGAGACCTGGGTTTGTATCTAGCTAGTGCGTTGATTGTACTATTTTTATTTTAAGTTTACCTTAGAGTTTGTATTTGAATTAAGGTAATATTTGTGCAACTAAAGTCTTTAAATCCTGGATTCGCTTTTGACTCCCTCCGTCCACTTTTAATTGTTATAATTTCCTTTTTTAGGGTCAAACTATGAAAACTTTGACTAACATTTTATAATGTATTTTTTCATAATATTGATGTGCAAAAAAAATTGTATTTTATAGTACTTTTTGTATAGTTTTTGAATATCTAAATTTTTTGTTTAAAATATTGAATTAATGTAATCTAATTTAATTTTGAAAATTAGTCAAATCATTTTTTGAAAAGCGTAACATGACAATTAAAAGTGAACTAAGAGAATAGTGTGTTGAATATAATAGTATTTGTTTTGATTGTTATTCGAATTTTATTGTATTGTATCGTTTTAAATATATCGTTAGATAATGACGAAAATTTTTTATTTAATATAACTTTCAATTTGGTGTAATTGTGTTGATTGTCAGTACCTTTTTTTACTTTGAATTTAATAATCGTACTATTCTAATTTATCCTATTTTTTATAGTAATAGTTTTACATTGTACCTTAATTTTATGTAGGTTTATTCTTAATTTGTTGATTTATGACATTATGTAACGATAAAAAAATGATAGAATAGATGTTGTATTCACAAAAATAATATAATACGAAATAATATAAAACACAATACAATATAATATGATATGTTATGAAACAATGTGGTAAAACTCTCAAAGTAGAGTGTAATTAATGATCTAAGACACATTTAAATTATCATTTTTTCATGAATTTCATCTATTAACTATCTATTATTTACTTTATCTACCTAAATTATATATCACTCTCTTTGTATTGGATATTGCAAATCTTGCCGAAAATATTTTATCACGAAACATGTAGAGAATTCTTATAGTTTGAGGCGTGTCAATGATACTATCCTAAAAGATATTTTACCAAGTGTAGATATATCCTTCAGAATTTAACGGTCTCTTCTAGTATAAAACTAGTAGCACAAAAACTAACCAAGATTTTGTAACGAAGAAAAACCCAACACAATTTATGTAATGATCAATTTAATGTGACTGCGTCTTACCTTTTTTTTTCTCGTTGTCTCTGCTTATGATTTAATATTTTACAATCCTTTATCTTAATTATATTTTATAGTAACTCTTCATCATATTCTACATTTTACGTAGATTTGTCCTCAAATTGTTGATGCATGACATTATGTAACGATAAAAAATAATACAATCTATCTAAATGTTGTATTCATTAAAATAATACAATACGATATAAAACAACACAATACGATACACTATAAAATAATGTGTAACAACCATCCAAGTAGAGTGTAATTATGGTCAATAATACATTGAAATTAATGAAATTTTTTTATGATTTGCATGCCTTAACTTTGAATCCCTTTATCTACCTAAATTATCACTTTCTTGATATTAAATATTGTAAATTTTATGTAAAATATTTTATCACCAAACCTTCAATGAATTTTTATAGCTTGAGTCATGTGAATGACACTATTCATAAGGATATTTTTCTGGTATAATTGTATTTTTCAAGATTCAACAAGTTAATCTAGTATAAAACTAAGAGGATAAAAACTAACAAAAGATCTTTAATGAAGAAAACTCCAACACAATATCATATGAGAGAAAGAGTTTGTGTTCATTTATCTTCTTTTCTTCCACCAAATGAAAGGACTAAGGGGTCGTTTGATAGGGTGTAGAAGTATAGCATTGAATATGATGTATTAGTATTATTACTTATATTAGTTATTCTGAGATTATTTCTAATGCAATGTTTGATTTGGTATATTAAAAATAACATGCATTGCGTAATTTTTATTGAAAAAAATGTTTACAAAATTACCCTCCACAAATATGATGGAAATGATGTGAAAAAAGTTTTGAGAGGTAATTATGTTTTAACCATAATGCATGCATTAAATATCTTGCATTATTAATACTATGGTTTCCCATGTATTAGTTATATACATAGTATTACAATAGCAAATAGAATATAACTAATATTTATATTAATTATACATATATTGAAAAAGTATATTAAACGAAGCCAATACATTAATTATATTTATTTTTGTTAATACAACCTATTAAACTATCCCTAAGAGCATATTTTAGAGAACTCAAATGATAAATAAACGTATTGTTACACCTCTCATTAAAGGTATTTTATAATGTCATAGTATAGCTATCAAAGATCTCATGATTATGAACTTAAAAGAAGGAATTTAATCAAGAATTTAAACTCTTCTTTATGAGATATTAAATTATTTTCCAACATTAAATACATTTCAATGTTAAGTTGGTCAAATATTTATGCTTAATCTATAATAAGCACATATAGGTTAACTCAGAAGCGAGGTGTGTTTTAATACAAACAAATAAATAATCTAGATAGATAAATAAAATAATGAATAACTAATGAAACTCATGAAAAGATAATAGTTCATATATGTTTTTTACCATTAATATTGTCGCATAATACAAAATTTAATTGGTTATACAAAAATTTCTAGATAATTAATACTCCATCTTAGATTCAAACTATATAAGTTTTGACCAATATTTTATATTTGTTACTTTATCATTATATTAATAAGAAGAAGAAAATGCAACTTATAGTATTTTTCTTCAAAATCTAAATTTTAATTTTAAAATATTGAGTTAATCTAATCAAATTTACCAAAAATATAAATTACCCTACAAAATTATGAGATCAAGTAATTCTGCGCAATTTGCCACTTATACTTACTCATTCTGTCCAACAATACTTGTCCACTATTATCTTTGCACAATTCTTAAAAAACTATAAATAAAAGGATAATTTTACTATATTACCCTTTGATTATAATAAATACAATGTCAAAATAGTATAACAAACAACTATTGTTAGATAGAAGGAATATGATATAGAGCCCATTTGAGTGCCTGTTTTAAAAATATTACTTCCTCTATCCATTTCATGTGATAACATTCAACTTCTTTTTTTTTTTTTTTTTTGATAACATTCAACTTAACACAATATTTAAGGGGAAAAAATAGACTTTTTGAAACTTATAATCTAAAACAATACTTATATATTTGTATGATTATAAAACATTCATTAGTTTTTATAAGTACTACTAGTATTTTGTAATTGTATCTGTACTAAATTGGATCATCACTCAATGCAACCATGTAGAAGAAACATCATTTTTACTAGCTACTTGCTATAACTTTAATTTCATATATCTTAATGACTATTCCTGATCTAATAAAATGAAAACTCAGGTTAATGGTGCCCTCAGATCAGCATTAACTAGCATCCCCGTATCATCGTAGTATCTCGTTACAATTTCCAAGCATATGCTCGAGAGCCCGAGAAATCATTGTTTTGTATCTTCGAAGAATGAGTTTGGTATTTCGAGAGGAGAAGACAATGTTGCCACACATTTGAACTGTTACAAGAAAATCATATAAATGTTCACATCAGATTACTGAACAATACAGGTGTCTACAACAAAATCACCAATTATCAACAATGCGCAAATTGATACCTTATGCAGCTTGTATTTGTCCCTCACAGCTGACAAATTACTTCTTCGTCTACTTAATTGTAAGTCGTGAATGATAAGAACACATTCCTTTAGATCCACTGGTCTATAGCCCGAGCAACGTTGAAGGGCCAAACTCTACAAAATGGATAGAGTTAATTATCAGTGTTTCCATATATCAAGGTACTAAATATAAACGAACATTGGATCAAAATCCTCACCCAAGGATGTGACTTTGGTTGTAATGTGAACCTTGAAAGGAATATCACAGCAGCAGCTACCAAAGACGGCACGAATTTCACACAGTTGTAATCCAATAAACTTAACTCTGCTAGGTAGTAACCAAGGAACTCTAACTGCAAATCAACGTTCTACGGAAAGCAGAATAGATAGCATGAACAAACAGTTATCGGAAACAAAGTTGACTTGAAAATCATAATGTTCGTGTCATATTTGTACTTACTTCGTAACCTTCTTGGGCAATCCTAGTAAATCTTCCGAGAAATGTTTTGGTTGTGGGATTTCCCATTTCAAATTTGAGGGATTGTAGAACACTAGCCTCCATATTCACCACGTCTTTCTTTGTAAATGTGTTGTCTGTAATGTAAGCAAAGTCCTCAACATTTGGCGGCTTAATTTCCTCGTACTTCCTGATCATAATCAAAAGATTATATTAGATTCACAACCAAAATTACACAATAAGCACACTGCCAAAATAAAACCAGTTCTTGGCTCCGACACTTACGCAGCAATAAGCATCGAAGAAACACCCAAAAGCTGAAGTCTTTGCCTAGGGATGACACTCACTGATAAGAATCTATCAATGTAGGAAACAGCAAGATACAACGTATCCGATAG